TGCTTGAAGAGTGGGGAGAAATTCTGACGAATCAAGTGCATGTCCAACCAGTAATTCCTCCTGATGCAAATGACTTATCTATACTGCCGAATGCGAAGCTTTTATTTGTTGATGCAACAGTCTTTACGGAGGAAGGCAAAGCTTTCTACGGAATTTATATGACTAATGGAGTAGGGGCTTATGTCGCAGCAAAGAATGGTACTATAAGATGTCTAAATGATGTCTTTCTTGCAGAAGCCATGGCAGTGAAAGAAGCGTTATCTTGGGCTAAAGAAAGAGGAGAGAATAACCTGGTAATTTATTCAGATTGCCAGATGGTAACCAGTTGGTTTGGTAATGTGGCACGTGATCATTCATACGCGGGTTGTATTTTGGAGAAGTGCCGGATACTGAAACGACACTTTGAGTCCGTATCTATTTGTTTTATTCCGAGATCATCGAACACGTATGCTCATAATCTTGCTAGAGCTACCTGTTTTCAGTCTGGTACTATGTGTTGGCTTTCTATGATTCCTTTATGAATCCAGCATTTATTTGAATAAAAGTTACACCATTTCTTTCAAAAAAAATAAAAAATAAAAATAAAAAAAAAAAGAGAACAAAGAGGCGAAAAGAAAGAAGAAAAAAACAAGAAATTAAAGTAGCGAGAATAAAAAAAATAAATAAATAGAGAAGAAGAGTGTATGCTAGGATTTTGTTACTTATCATCGACGATGGTAATTCAGAGCTTTCCAAACAACCGGATCAGTCTACAATGATTGATCGGTTCTTCCCTCGCAACTAATCTTTTCAGGAATACCCACACAAACATGATCCATTGTAAACAGAGCCAGAGCCCCGCCAATATCATATGAACACAATAGTGTATCAAAATAAGTACCTCACACTGTCCATATCGAGCAAAATAACATCAACAAGGAACTCAACTCAACAAAGGCATTCTCACAAGGCAAAGGATTCAAATGGATTCCAATAGAGAAATACAACATATGAATAGATCAAGGTAATAATTCAAACTCATAAAAAGACAAAGACTACCAAGAAGGTCACGCTAGAATCAAGGAATCGATATCAATAGCATAACGAACAACAAATACTCTTAGGATTGAACAAAGGATTCAAAATAGGAATTTCAACATAATTCGTAGGAATATCAAAGAATAGGATTCAAAGATGATTAATAGTCCAAAACTGAAGCAGAGGATTCACAAGATATTACAATAAATCAGACTTGAACCAAAAGTTAGATCAAAATGCACTGGAACAATAAAACAGTACTGGAAGCAGAATAATTAATAACCAACGGGACTAGGAGGCGGGGTCAGTAGACCCGTCGTCCCCTACCGTATGTACTAGGTTACCCTAAAGCGTGTTTTAAGGTTTGTCAAAGCTACTATAGTCTATGGGCTATGTTTTACGAAATTAGACTCAAACAACATTCATGCATTTTCGGATTCTGATTGGGTGGGATATCATGATGACCGCAAGTCCACTAGTGATTTTTCTGTCTTTATTGGGAAAAATCTAATTTCATGGGCTTGCTGCAAGCAAAAGACAATTCCTAGATCATCAACAGAAGCTGAATACAAAGCTATAGCCGATGTCTCAGCAAAGGTAACATGGTTAGTTGATTTAATTAAAGAACTTGATCTTACTATGCAAAAATCACCAATATTTTGGTGTGACAATCTTGGTGCTACCTATTTGTGTGCAAGTCTTGTGTTTCATGCTCGAACCAAACATGTTAAAATAAACTACCATTTTGTTCGTGACAAAGTAAATACATCATATCAAAGGAACTACAAGTAATTAAACCAAATCTCTACAAGCCACTAACCACAGCAAGGTTCAATTATGATCTAAGGGAAAACTCAATATTCTCTCTAGAGAACCTTAAACTTGAAGGGACATATTAGGACTATATGCTCTAGTTACACTAGAATTCTTTCTTCTCTCTCTCTCTGTATTATTGTAAATCTACCTTAGCTTTTATAATTCATTAATTCATGATGACCTGACTAAGACTCTTTGTCTTCTATACTAATAAGAGCTCAGGAGAGTTAGGCTTATAATGGGTAGAAAAAATGGTGGTCAAATTTTTTAATCAAATGAATGTCTCAGATTGATCCGATTTTAATTTTTCCTTAAGATTTTCTAATTTATCCTTAATGAATATGATTATCTGTTAACTTTTCCATTAAATATTATCTTTTTCGTTAATTTCTGTCAGTTCACCGTTAACTTACTCATTGATTTCAATAAGAAGGGTCTTAAGTTCGAACCACATCTCAATCAAAGTTGGCATAATTAGTACTCTATTTTACTCTTATTAAATTAAATAATAATTTAGTAGCTACAACAAAAAATAATACATATGCATTTCTTTAATTTAGAATTATGTGTCTACAATGTCTTTATTCAAAAAAAAAAAAATATTCATTATCAATAAATTAAATAAGAGAAATAATTTCATTAGTTATATTGTCTTTATTATTCTACAATATAAAAATTCTTTATATTCAAATTCATCAATTGATTATCCGGGTTGGACTTTCATTTGGAAGATTATGAGTTCGAGCCTCAGTGGAGGCGTTATTGGTTCTTTGTGTTTTAGTAGGTTGAGAAAGTATATGAGCAGATACTACATCGTAATAGAGCCAGTGGCATTCAAAAATTTTTTTATCAATTGATTATATTCGCTACATTGTCCCTACAATGTCTTTATTATAAAAAAAGTTTATTCATTATCAATAAATTAATTAAGAGAAATAATTTTATTAGTTATATTGTCTTTATTTTTCTCTAATGTAAAAATTCTTTACATTCAAATTCATCAATTAATTACATTCACTACATTGTCTATTATCTTTTTTGTGCACTAATTTTTTTAATTAAATATCAAAGTTATAATACAAAATAATGCTATATATTTATTTACCAAGTAGTTTATTAATACCATGAAAAAATTAAAAAAATATATAACTAACAAAGCCAATCATATTAACTACTTGAGGGATTTGTTGACAAAAAGAGTATTCAAATCACACAATAAATTGAAGTGAGAACTATCTCGCAATGTCCTTGTTTGACAATCAACAATTAGCGATTAGCATTCGCGGATTATATTAGCGGATTTGACCAGCGAATTATATCAACAGTTGGTAAAAAAAATATTTGAAAAAATTAGTTGTTTAGATTAACATGTAAAATGACCAAAGGGTATACATATATTTAATTATAATAATAATAATAATAATAATAATAATTGTTTTAAAAAAATAAAAATATATAATTAAGCCAATCATATTAACTACCTTGGGGATTTATTGATAAAAAGAGTATTCAGATCAGATGGTATCCATATATCCTTCCTCACGTACAAAAAACGTCATGATATACTGTAATTAAGAATGTATGTCTCTGGTGTTCAACAGAATAATGCATACATACTCACAGCTATTGCTAATTTCGTCCCACATTGCTTGCAAAGAGTGAGCGCATGCCTGTCAAACACTATAAAACAAGCTGGTTGTAATCTTGTTTACATATACCTTTCTCGGCCTTTTGGCTAAGATCAAGTGTAGTATATGTTTTTATTAGTTTAATATCTGATATGTGGGCCAATGGTTTGCAAGATATTAACTCTATTTGTTTAGGTGAAAGCCCAATAAGGTAGCTTGCTGCCTGAACCTTCGCGCGTCGCTTTGGTGTTGCACTATTGCCTTGGCTTGGCGTACCCTACCAATCCAAGTCCAAAGCTTTTAACTCGTTAGAAATTCCCTTGGGCCCCATTATATTGAATTAAGTCTTAGTCCACTTAGAGATTATAAATAAACAGTACAGTATTTGTATATTGGAAGTACGGTTATAAATAGGTATATATATATGGCCATTATCTCTTAGTGGCCTTAATTGGCTCCTCATTTTTAGGATCATTAATACTGTTTTTTGGTGGAGGATGATGAAAATTTTGAGGAAGAAATTGTTTTTGTGTTGAAGCATTGAAATTACTGGGAATTCTCTCAAAAGTCTAGCTAGGTTTTGAATTTGCAAGCAGCAGCCTTATTACATTGGGCGTACAGTTTTGAGAGTCTCAGGATGCATTATATTTGTTGAAAGAGTTCATTCAACTTACACATGCAATTTTGTTTGGTAAAGCTATTGTGTTCCAGAACATCCAAGCATGAAGCATGTATAGTAGCATGTAATTTGGGTCCAGACTTATGGAGAATGTGGTCGTACGTTCAGCGGGTTTTGCAAATGATTATCATCAACCTATTATTGCATCTAGCTCTGCTCCCATTTTGAGCAATATTCTGGCTCAAGCTGAGAGTGAAGAACACTGAACGAGTGAACTTTGCGAAGGCATATCTAAACCCATAAATCGAAAGGCACTGAACGAGTGAATAGGCAGCGAACACGTTTGTGTCTATTATCGTCGGTGAACGATATTTTCATGGCCTAGTAAAATTTAATTTTTACCTCTCATGTGACAAATCACTGCTGGAAATCTCGCGTTTTCCGTCCAACAAATGTTGGACAGAAAACGCGATATATTGGTCGGAAACGACGTTTCCGTCCAACATACTGACCAAATTGAACGTTCGGAAAAACGCTTGTCAGAAATTTCGTCCAACTCTACTTTTTGGTCAGAAATTCCGTCCAACGAACAAAAATTGGACGAAAATTCCGGCGAGTAACCCACCATTTTTAAAACATGGGAATTTCTGTCCAACCATGTGCGTTGGTCGGAAATTCCGTCCAACTATGTGCGTTGGTCAACAATTCCGACCAATGTTGGACGAAAATTCACATATTATAACTTGTAATTTCCTTCCAACTGTTGGTAGGAAAATCATAAATCATGGAATGTTTTTATTATTTTTATATTACCATAATTTTATTTATACCTGTTATAAATAAATTATATGTCATCAACAAATTAATGGACACACTAAATTTCAAATTGAAAATATATTTAAACATCAAAATTCTTTACAACAAAAATTATGGTCATGTTCATAAATAAATAAAAAAGTCATGAAAATATATACTACTTAATTGATACTACTTAAATGCACTAGTACCCGGTTACTCCCCTAAGTGAGAGGTGATGGGTTCGAACCTTAGTTGAGCAAGTAGTGTATATATAGGGTATCCCCTTCTTTATAATAATAATAAAAAAAAAATACTACTTAAGTATGTTGCACCAAATAAGCCTTCAAATCCGGCAATACTTCAACGGCTTTGATAATGCATCATCCACAACCTTCTTCTTCAATGACTTTGATAAGTGTAGTCCTTCACCAAAATTAGACCGTGAAAGTCATCTCTGGACTACACCAAAATTAGACCGTGAAAGTCATCTCTCTCTTGCAACTGCAAATGATCCAGTAGCAACAAAATCATCATAAGCAACCTGAGATAAACATTTCATCAATTAAACTTGAAATGCACCACCATCCATCAAAAGCACCCATACATGTTAGGAATATTCATGTTCTGACCAAAACCAATCACCTTTCAAACTCATGGGTGTTTAAAGAACAAGAATGAGGTGATACCGAAAAGGCACAAGAACACTTTATAAATTGGTATCACTAACCAAAGCTGTATGTGGGAAATAGTCGAATAAATCTATGAAAGTCTTCCAAACATTAGCATTGCCATATCTGTGAAATTTAACTGCAATCAATCTAAAGAGGTTTACTAATAAAAGAAAAGAGAGAAGAAAGTGGCATATAAATAGACTTGTACTAAGAACCATTAAAGATCAACTGAGTTTATCCAACAGCTTATACCAAACAACATAAAGCATTCTTGCAGCATTTTAGCAATGAACTAAAGCATGTATAAATTTGACATATCTTATTTACCTACCTTATTGGAATATATATGCTCTAATGTTTAGAGACCTAATTCTTATCTGTTATACTCAAATCAAACTAACAATAATAAAGACTACTTGATTAATCATGTCTGACAGAAGATACAGACACCAATTTTATGTCATAATGAATACTTCTAATTGCCAATTCCTATGTCATATGACGCAGCAATTCAAGAACAGGAAGCTTACAGCCTTACAATAAAGAATTTAATACATACTAAAGAAAGAAGGAAATTACCAGTTATTCTCTTGCTCATAGTAGCATTCGCAAACAGTTTTAGCCCCACTTCCAACAACATACCTATTTTCTGCAAGTAGAGAAAACATCAATAGAAAAGTGAAATTTTTTTGTTAATTCCAAGTAAAGAAGATATCATGCATCACAAGAAAGTTATAAATTATCATAAATAACAATATTATGAATAACACTATCTTGATTCTAGAGTATTAAATATATTGTCACAACACTCAAAAGTAGTAATTCACTCAGAGGAAGGATAGATGCCAACAGAATATCACCAACGTCAAAGGATAGATGCCAACAGAATCACAGAAGAAGCAATGTTCAAGAAAAACAATAAGTAAAAACAGATTAATAAAATAAAGAGAGTAGAGGTTTCAAATTTTAGATTAAGAAGCACCCTTTTCATCTAGCCACTTCAGTTTTTTTTACTTCTCCTCTCGTGATGTATTCTCATTCTCTCCTCAACCTGCAAAGTGTGAGTGTAAAAAAGACATCTTTATTACACAAGTCAAAGAGTGAGAAAAGATATACTGTTGATATGCACAATAGCAAAAGAGTGGAAGACAAGATGAGAGTTTAAAATGCATTTGTATATAGCATTTTTAATTTTTAAAAGAAACAGTTTCATGATAAAACTGGCCAGGAACTTACTAGCAAGCTGCAAAGTTTCATTACGAAGCTCATCCCTTAGCTATTAGAAAATTAATAGACACGACGAAATAGGCAGACAATTTAAATATCAATTCAGATCAATTATTCCAATACCAAAAAGATAAATTAAAAGAGAGATGTGCCAACTTCCCACTGTAAGCTGATTCAAGAATGATAGTTTACAAGAACACTTATAGTTTCTCCTAAATTTCCATGAATGTGCTCAGAGACATAAACATACACTCATACAACCAGGGAATCATGCAAATCAACAATGCAATAGAAAAGCTTACGACTCTGCAAAAATCTCAATTAGTACAAACGATAGAAATTTCAACTTGTAGATATAACCTGAAGAAGCGATGTAGTACTAGGGTTTCGGGTGGTAGCACGTGAGGGTTAAACTTTAACAACAATAGAAGATTAAAGTAGAAAGTATAAAATTAGAAGCACCTACCTTCGTTCACAGGGGAGACAAAATTTAGAGTCAGCAACTTCGTCGTCGGCAGGGGCGGAGACCGGGCAGTAGCTTCGTCGTCGGCAAGGTCGGAGGTGGAGATCGGGCAGTAGCTTCGCCGTCGGCAAGGTCGGAGGCGGAGACCGGAGAGGAGATGCGGAGTCTTCCGGTGTCGTCGGCAGCAGCTTTGCGGTTGGAACTCGGCATGGAGGAGCTGTCGTCTTCGTCTCTCAAGGAAGAGCTATCGGCTGAGTTGGGGGAAGCAATAGAAGGCCAGAGAATTAGGGATTAGGTATTTGGGGGGCTTGGGTTTGAAATTTAACTTTTAATTATTGAAGGCTGGTATTTGGCGGTAGTCTTGGACGGGGGGGGAAAGTTTTCGAGACTTCAACTGAGAAAAAGAAGAAAAGGTTAAAATATTTAAATTTTCTTCCAATAACATGTTGGACGGAAATTAAAATACGTACCATTTTTTTATTTCTACCTATTAGACAATTTGAGTTTACCAACCAATACTACAGGTTGGACAGAATTTCCTTCCAACACTGGATGTTGAACGGAATTTCCGTCCAACGCTCGAATGTTGGACGGAACTTCTGACCAACTTTCCGTTCACCCTTCTTTAGCGACAGAAATTTGAAATTTTTATTAAAATACCGACCAACTTACGGTTGGACGGAAATGTTGGACGAAAATAGCGAGATTTCCAGCAGTGATTTATTTGCATGAATTTTGTCCAAGTAACCAAATTAAGGTTGAAGTGCATATAGTGGACAAGTGATCACTATGATGATTCATAAGACAACATGATGAAATAAGGTCATATTTTTCTTTTAGCTGGATGCATGGTAGTAATTATTCAACATGCGTTCTGAATTTTGAGAGTTATCTCGCATCTTATATATGAGGCTATAGGCTATTTTTTTCAAATATAGTGTTGTGCCCAGATGGTAAACTAAGAGCATTAATTTTATATGTCACCCGTTATCTTGTCCCAAACTATCTTGTCCCAAGCCCTCGATTATGGATATTTGATCTAAAAGAAAGTATAGACCCTAAGTCAATACCTGTGTGTTTTATTTTTGAAAGACACCAAAAATTTAGTTTTTTTGTGGGAATATACTCTCTGAGTTTTAGAATCTTCCCTACTCGACAATGACTTTGGTCATTGGGCTATTTGTCTAGAAAACCTCAAATGGGGATAAACCTTTGGGTGACTAATGAGTAATGACTCATTAATGAAGTCAGGAACTTCTATCTTTAATGCTATGCTACTCTGTAAAATGTTTTGTGCTTGAAAGCCAAAAGTTAATCTCATCATGCTGGTTTGCCTGAATCAAACAAGTTGTGAATATTTGATGCTGATGACCCTTCATAAGTTGAGAAAATAGATTTTAGAAATCCTGAATGGTCTCACCGTCTATACATCTATTGGGCAAACATAATGAGTCAAATATTTTATAAATATGATGTTAGATATTTTACTAAATTATCTGTTTTCGGGATATTAAACATGATATACTTTTGTATTGAATCCAAATCCGACTCACTACAAATTCAAATTAATCCCACATACACCTCATACGTGGTAGTATTGAATATTTCCCAATCTGCGTTTCTATCTTTAGTATGCAGTCTATTTTACAGTATCACCGCCATAGCGTATCTTTAAGGGCTATCCAATGAAGTTGGGTATACATATATGTTGGTTATAAACCTCCGTCTGTTGTCTAAATACTCAGAGCCCTTGACAGGGGATCAATAGATACACTGACTGCATGATTTATGAAGATCGATTCACGGTATTAGGGGAGATATGAGCCTAGATAATTTAATGAAATGCCGAGAAATTCCACAGAATGGAAAGGTCTTCAATTCATTAGTTAAGAAATCCACGTACTAGTTAAACTGAAGTGCAAGTTCAGAAGATAATCTATTTGCGACATTAGAAAATAATCTGTCAAATATATATACTGATCATACTGATCATAAAAGAGTGACTAGGTCTCATGTACCTTCACCAACTTGGACCAAATATATCTACTGATACTCTTTGAGACCAGAAGTGTAGGAGACCAATTGGTGTAAGAGAAAAGAATCATAATACTAAATCTAGTAAAGAAACTTTGTCACTCTTAAAATCTATTAGAGGATTATGTCTTGCAGACGTTCGTCCAGAATGTGAAAAAAAAACCCAGTAAACTTATCGGGTATACCAAATAATTATAATACTAGGGATGCGTAACGACCAGATTTGAATATATTTGGAAAATGTCTAGAATCTAGTTGACTTAAATATTGTCATTATAAATATGGGAGAGATTTATGAAAGTGTTATAGTTATCGACAACACAATTGCTTTTACAAATTGCTTGTTATATGATAATCTAGATCCAGAGTTAGACACCGGAAGTGTCATGACTATTTAACTTATAAAGGAGCAATTAAGGCACAGCTCGAATCGCTAAAATGGATATATTCTCTTTACAACAATACACCGTTGTGCGTTAACCGTACCCTTAAGGTTACAAATGGGTGTGTGCATGAAAGAGAAATATAACGAGGTGATGTGACACTACTCGAAATTCTGAAATTTCCGACCACCTGAAAGTGATCATAAATCAAGTTGAAAGTCTTGTTCCGACCACTTTTGGTATCCGGAAAAACCTTTGTTGCTATTTCCGACCACTTTTTGGACTTTTTGGTATCAACTTAATTTAAGATCATTTTCAGGTGGTCGGAAATTTCAGAATTTCCAGTAGTGTGATGTGAAGTGAGTTTGTAGTCTATGAGTTCACGCAGAGACCCTTGATTGATTATCAAATATACTCTCCCACGGTAAATGACATTAAATTCCGCTACATAATATCATTGACCACTGTTGCAAAAATCGGTCTAGACGCCCCTAGTCTATGGATGTCAACGGGGCGGGGCGGGGGCGGGGAATGCGGTCCCCGTCCCCGTCCCCGAATTAAATCTCCATTCCCCGTCCCCGCCCCGTTCCCCGATCCGGGATGGGGCCCGTTCCCGTGGGGATTATTCGGGGACGGGGATTCCCCGCCCCGTTTTTGAACGTAACCTTGCACATTGCAGTAACCACGGCATTTGGAATCAGACTAATTCTTTTGTTTTTCTTTGGTATATACCACAAACAAATTATAAATCCTTGAGTTTAAATAATGACCATATATACTAAACAAAGTCCAATTAGATTAGTGAAAGTTCATTTGTAATTATTCCCAAATTGCATAGGAAGAAACGTGTATAAGATCATTGCTATTGGTCAATTACACAAACAGAAATAAATAAACTGCCTTAAAAGAATGAAGACAGCAACCGAAAGCAATAACATTGCATTGCAATTCTCACATATGGAAGACAAGCGGTTTATTCAAAATTTCAAATCCACAGTGAAGTTCTTTGCAACCATCGCGGGATTTTAAAGATTGTTGATATGAAAAATCATAAAGAAACCACAGAGAACAATAGGGTTACTTGACTGGACGCAGAGGCAGAGAGGATGCGACGCCGCTACGCAGACTCGCAGAGGCAGAGAGGACGACGACACGACGACGAGCTTGGGACGGAGACGGGCAGATGGCGACGGCTAGCTTGGGACGACGATGGCGAAGAGGCGTCTCGGCGATAGAGAGGTAGCGAGGGCATGAGGAAATGATGACCGACAGAGAGGCAGAGAAGGCGTGAGAATCGGGGACGGGGACGGGGATCGGGGTCGGGGTTGGGGCGGGGGATGCCCTCCCCGTCCCCGTCTCCGTCCCTGGCGGGGATGGGGAAATTCTCCCCATCCCCGCCCCCGTAAAATTCCCCGAAGCCGCCCCCGTCGGGGCGGGTTGAATTTCCATCCCTACCCTAGACCGTGGCGATTTCTCCCCTAGGCGCCCGCCTAAGTGACCAGCAGCCTAGCGCCTAACTCGGCCGACTTGGCTGCCTATGCAGCCGTCCAGCGTCTAACTTAGCCGAGTTATGTATACACCCGTAACTTAGCAAAAATGTCATTTTTGCTTCCGCATTCAAATTCTCTCTTTTCATTAAATATATATCTCTTATTTTAATATTCCTGTTTTTAAAATTGGGGGTGTTACATGGTGTAAATTTGATGAATATTCAAATTTGATTCAGTTATTATCGAACCGAACTTGAACTCAAGTAGTTCAAGTAATGAGTCGAATTCAAACCTCTTAATACTCGGCTCAACCAGTTCAAGAGACTAGTTGAGCTTTTTTATTATATATATATATATATATATATATATATATATATATATATATATTATACCTAATATAGTCATAATATTATAAATTTAATTACTATATTTAGATATTTATGTCTATTAGCTATTAAAAAAAAGAGAATATATTTAGTTAACCACTTGTTTGGTTTGCGAAAAATAATTGAATAGGAATGTAATTTAAATTCTATAGAATTTAATTTACTTAGAAGATTGATTCTATTATTTTGTTGGTAGGAAAGAAATTACTGAAATATTGATTTCATTATTTCGTTGTGATGACCGTCAGGTTGGCGGACCATGGAAAACATTCTACCGTGTTCGTGGTGCGGTGCCGGTGGACAAACCGTTAAAGCGACGTATGAAATTGATACAGTGAGACAAGTCCTGGGGCTAGGTAAATCTGAAGTATGAACGACTCCATAACTTTTGTTTCTTCTGTGGTATGCTCGAACACCTTGACAAGTTCTGTTTGAAAGCCCGGGTCTCCGGCCTCACGCCAGAATTATATCCGTATAGGGCTTGGATGAAAGGACCACGGCCGGTAGGAGCATCCCGGTTACTACCGCCGGTTGAATCAGTTCGGCAGTTTCCGGCGCCCCAGTCCAGCATGGAAGACACGGCGTCCTCGGATGACAGTCAGGGAGACGTTCGTATGGTGCAGCAACGAGGTGGATCGGAGGACGGTGTCGTAGCCTCGTCGAAGCGTCGGCGAGCGGCTACGGGCAGTGGTGGTAGCGCCGGCTCGCCGGCGGGGGGGGGGGGGGGTGGGGTGAGGTATTTGTGGCTAATGGTTCAAAAAACTTGCAGATGGCAGGTTCTGGGTCCCAGACCCG